ATCGTCACCAAGTTACCAGCCTCCATTATACTTCGACGTCTGACGCCGTTTAGGGAGACAAACATCCGCGAACAACAAGCAGGGTTTCGACCAGGTCGCGGTTGTATCGACCAAATCTTCACTCTGCGTCAATTCCTCGAGCTACGCCATACGCACCGTCGACCAACGGTTGTCGTCTTCCTTGACCTGAAAAGAGCCTTCGAATCAGTTGATCGTGAATCCCTTATGGGTTCACTCCTTCGCAAACGAATACCGCAGAAGAATGTGAACATACTGAGTTCACTCTACTCACATACCTCTGGTAGCGTAAGGGTCTACGGTGATCTGAGTAGGTCGTTCGTACCTAGCAGCGATGTTCGTCAAGGGCGCCCTCTTTCGCCATTCCTGTTTAATTTTGTCATAGACGAAGTAATGGAGAACACACTAAGTGGTCTCCAAAGTGTAGGTACCGAATAGGCAGCTGGAGGCATGTGCTTTGCACCTTCAAAGTGCAAAGTGATACTACAAGACTAGGTGTCACCGAGTTCCGTTCTGAAACTAGACGGTCAGGAATAAGCTGAAGTTGATTGCTTCTCTTTCTTAGGTAGTCGTGTGACCAACGACGGCAGTGCATCGAAGGAGATAACCGCCCGCATTTCCAAGGCTGGAGTAGCGTACGCGGACTTAAACACCTGTGGCGGCGACGTGACGTGTCACTAAAGTTGATAAGTCGCGTATACTGTGCCACCGTACGATCAGTTCTACTTTACGGTTGTGAGACCTTGAATTTGCGGGTAGACAACACCCGTCGTTTAGCAGTATTCGAAAATCGATACTCACGTAGTATTACCCAGGTTGGATGGAGTGAACGGGTTATTAACTTAGAAGTAAGTCGTCAGGTACTTGGGAATATATCAAATAAGAACTCGCTATCTCATCGAATTCAGCTCAATGGGCTTCGTTGGTCAGGACACGTTTTGCGTATGTCCGACAGTCGCCTACCGCAGCGAGCCTTGTTTGCAGTGGCTGTTACAGGCTGGAGAAAGCCACGTTGGGGTAAACAGATGACGTGGAGACGAGACATGAAGAAATGGACAGATCCATTAGGTAGGATAGGTGTCTCTCGCCTTCCACGTTGGGGTCCAAAAGACTCCACAACTGGTTGGTTGGAGACATTGGAGGATGTGACAGCGAACCGACAGCAGTGGCGTTCTTATTGTCGTTTCTTATCAGGTCAGAATGCTTGAAACGGTATGTATGCACAGTTGGGCTGTGTACTCTGTGTTGACCTTAGAGGTTCATCTTCTTCCCCCTTCCTCAAAATAGGTTCAATCCCTGTCCACCTTAAATTTTACCACTAACCTTGTATGCTTTGCGAGTTTGACAGCGCTCAGCGAAGTTAGCCTCCGTTTATTTCGCTGTACGACGATGATGATGAGTCCCATACTAAGAAAAAGAAACACCGAAAACAACGGAAAAATATTTATGATCAACTAATAAACGAACACTATTGTTCTCATGCTACTCGTTGTTTTCCTATTTTGTTCGTTTATATCCCAATCCTCCCTATCTATTTCTTTTTTTACGATTTTCACCATGCTTGGTGTTAAATATATCCATGAATTTGAACTTATTGTTTTAGCAAATTATAGTCAAATATATTGAAATAGCGAGTTTGTGACTCAAAATTGGTTTTATGGTTTAGCAAATTTGAGTAGATTTCATTCAGTTAAATAAGCATTACACTTGTTCATGATGTGGAATTTACTACTCATGGATGCGATTCAAAAGACATCTCAAGTCGTTTTTGGCTTTCTGTTTATGTCAAGCTAGTCCCAACTCAGGGAACAAGGTTCTTTCTTCGTTTTAAACTGAGCCGAAAAATAAACATTTCATTTTTGCTTTCGAACCAATAGGCAACTAGTTTCCATTGACTTACCACGTTGTTTCCTATTGGCCTTTGTTGCTAATCTACTTACCAGACGGTCGATAACCTACACTCGTACACAATGTTATCCTCTGAACTGGATCCGTACTCGACTTCTTTTTTAATTTCGGTCAGTTTTTCTTGAATTTCCAATCATGTCCCTGATTTCACACCACAGAGCAACAGGCACTAGGGTTTATTAGCATACTTCAATGTGAATAGTCAAATGAGGTAAAGTGGTGTAAAAGCGTCGAAGGCATTAAGAGTAAGCAGGTTCTCAAATGCCACATTCGCTACAAACTTTACCCTTCTGTGACGGTGAAAAACAAAGAACAGGTGTATTTTCATATTTGTGTACGACTTGGATTGCGGCGAGTTTCGTTTCATCCATGTGTGCTGGTTGTTTTTGTTTTACCTCGGTTGGTTTCTCACATGATTCCTTGGGGCTCATTTTCAATTTACTCATTCTTAAGCAAGCATTTTGAAACAAGTAGGCTAGTGCATAACTTAAATACACAGATAACTTTAAGTGTACATGTGCCATCACCAGCACCCTCCTTTTTCGGTGTCTTTTACACGAAAAAACTCAGAATTTTCATGATTTCCGGAATGTATTCACTTGGGATATTTGTTTAGCTCTTGATCTGCTAAATCGACCACTACTGTCTGCATTCGGTTTGGTGAATTCATTTGAACATCAATTTTTCGAGCATGCGGGGTGTTTTCATCATGCACGGTTTTTCTCGTTTGTGGACCACTTAGTTCGGACCGCTGATGGTAGCTCAAAATTATCTGAGGGTCGTGAAATCAATTAGATGTTTATTTATTATTTCACGTGTTTCAAAGCCAAACATTGATGTTTTTATACCCAAATCTCTTCTTCACTATCTGTTAACTATTTGTGTAGAAACAATGGTTTGAGGTGAAAACTCGATTTTTCAGTTCAACTCCTTTTCTCGCATACACTGTTGTTTTCGATGAATCTAGATGTCATCGAACATCACCATAAGTCCATAGAAACAAATCACGCATTGTCTTTTGTGAACACACATTGTACGATGAAAAGCATTAGGACCTAGTGCTCAGTTAACCGGTTGGTGAATCACGTGTAAGGTCCTAATGGTATATGCGTAACGTCGAACCGGCCGACAGTACAACCACTAAAGTCGGGTTTCTTTGAAAGATTTCAAACTCCAAACCCTAAACCACGGCATGTCAGTGAGAGAACCTTAAACCACACGATCAACACCCGTGCAGATATTCTGAATACCTTACAAGTCAGTTTAGATAATGAAAACAAAAGTGGATTGATGTGAACGACAATTTCCACGGAAAGTTGTCTCTTTGACGAATCCGGAACTTAAACTTATCGGTCTTTGGTGGCGCTGGAAACATACACAGGCCACTTTCGGAGGGGAATGGAAATAGTGGTTGAACGTACGCGGCTTGGCCTCTTAGTAGCTCAATTGAAGGCGATTACGAGCACTTTTTTTTCTACATCCTGTGGTTATACACTACCGCGGACTCCACATAAAAGATTACATGTGATTATTAGCACTGATTCTTTTCCACTATTAGAAATATGGGCTCATTTAATCCAACGATGCCCCTAGACTACAGACAGTTAGCTAGAATCAGTGTTAGAGAATAGGAGTAATTAAAAATAAACTGATTTGATTAAGCAATTTATTCGAACGACTAATCATAGAGCCGGTCGCCTTGCTTTTCAGCCTCGTTTCATTGACCGTTCAGAAAAGCACAGATAGTATTTCACTTGATTTTCTTCTTTTGTCATCCGAAATCGCTTTTTAGTTTCATTCGGTTTGTTTCAATCCAAATTTTCAAAATCACTTGGATTTAACCCAGAGTTTGCCCATGCTTCGTAATCATGTGGTTATTCTTATTAGAGTCTGTCATTTTCGTTGTTCCCTCATTCGATCAACTATCTGTATTTCTTCTCTGTTTCCCCTCTAACCGTTTGTTTTGTGTTTCCTTAACCAATTTACTCCTGTTGATTTGGACTGGTTATTCTCAAAAGGGAGGCCAATCCGCGCATGGTCTCCGAAGAGATGTACGAATTCCCAGAAGAGGCTGTCGAGGTGGATGGTACTTTTGACTCAGATCTCAGCACGAATCGTCCAGAACCACGTTACACAGCGCGCTCTATTGGTCAATCAAATCGTCAGTCTTCACGTGATGAAGATTTGGACAGCCGATACGTCTCGCCGGTTCACCGTCGACGTACTACCAAGGCGTCAGAAGCATCCAATCGAGTTGAGGTGTTTGAGGTTAGTCACAGTGATTATATATCAAAGTTCAGAGTTTTAGTATGGAAATAACTTGCAAGCTTATGCTTTTCTCATCCCGTAGGTTCGTGTTGTGGTTAAAGGACAGTGATACATACAATTCCTTGTGTAAAAATGTCACATGTAGGGGATTATTCCACTGCTGCGCGCAGCTTCATTTATGTTGGAATGTCAAGCGTGCCAAAGCTTCATCAAATCTCAGTTTGACAGATTCAACGCTTGGCGCACAGACGACATGAGATGGGAGAGAGTTCCAGACCGGACACACTGACTGAATGACTGACGTTCCAATCGGCATTTTGAGACCACTAGTATGAACGAATGTCCTCTACGATGAACGTTAAACGATAATTTTAGTTGCGGGTGACAGGGATGGCTTGGGTTTTGCATTATTTGGTGTACCATATTCATGTCTCCTTTGATGCGCCGGTGGTGATTGGAATATAGCCCCAAAGTCTCCACTCTCTACGCGTATGAATAGTGATTCAAACCCTTAACCATTTTGGTGGCCACCCGTTGTGGATGCTCCAGCATTTTGCAGTCACGTTCTCGCCGTGGATTCCATGCCTGGATAGCGTACTCTGTGAGTGGACAAATGTATGGTAATAGCAGAAGGTCGCGCCTTGTGTCGTAGAGATAGAACCTTACACTTTGGAGCATTGAATTCAATGTCGTTCAAAAGAGACCAGATGTGCGCTGCTNCGCTGCTTTCAGCGTTCCCTGGGGTGCCAGCGAGTCAGCTGATTGCGTTACTGTCTTCTATATTTTAGCATCCTCTGCAAACAGCAATGATTTTGACCCCAGAGCCTTCGGTAAGTCGTCAGGAAAAGTCGCGAGCCCAGCACAGATCCTCGTGGAACTCCGCGGGTAACGTCCATGGGAGTGAAAGCGTCCTACTTAAAGGATGAATATCTACCCGTAACATCTGTTGTCTAACCTCACTTACACGCACGTAATTCCTGCACCATCAGCGAATGGAACTACCCGGACAATCGTCGAATGCAGACAGTGGTTGGGTGGTGATATTATAACTTGAGTTGTCTTTGCCTTCAACCTTGGTCTTGCTTCTTTCCGCGTGTAAATGTTTCATTTGTTATCGTTGAGACTGCTGTAGTTAACTCACTTTAAACCAAAAATTAGCTTCAGTAATAACACTGAGGTTTCAATCACCTCATCCAATTGCGCCAAGTTATTGGGATGATCCTGACGCATGCACAGTTTGCGTCACAGACGATAGTGGATCACATTATATCTCAATCGGTAACCACAATAGCGCTGAAATCATTGAGTTTTTTCAAATCAGCTGCACCATCGGTCACGCACCGTATGTTCTCAAATACTCGTCATTGTTAGATGTTTTGTCAGATTCATTGTGTAACTACGTGGTTGTCGGTAGTACATACTCGATGGGCTCGTAGTGATATCTTTGCTTGTACCATTTACATTCCTTGGTTGAGAGTTCTTGGGAGTATTTCACTATTACACGGACAAAATGAGTAGAAAATTGTAGGATTATGCTTTCCGCACTGATCAACACCATCTACCGTTATCTGGACAGCTCACCAGCAGGATTACCCCCGAATGCTTCACTGCTGATACGTTCGTGTCTGCCAAATCCTGGTTTCAGCTGAATATTTTTATCCTGTGGATCGCTGCGAACTCCCGACATCTGTTGGCTGTTTCTTGTCTTTTCTTCATTTCTAGCGGAGCAAACCGATCGAACAGAAACCCCGACCACCATCGGTGGATTTGATGGGCTCTTGGGATAACTTACAGACAGCTCCTTCAACCAATGCAAAAGCCGTAACTGAAACTCCAGTCGATTTGTTGGGACTTTCAGATGTCAACAGCCGGGGGACTGGTTGGCCCGAACCCTCAGGGACGGCTCCACAATCGCAGTGGCCCGGTTCCCAAAGCGCAACCGGTATTTCTGTCGGTGGTAAAAGGTGAGTGAAGGCGACGAACGTTCTCTTTCACCATTATTGTCGTGTCACTTCACGTCTGACTGCCCATGGTATATGAACTACTTCAATCGACAAACCGCTCTTATCAAGTCAATCGTTTTGGGTCTAATCAAACGTAGATGTAATTAATCAAGGTTGATTGACATGATACAAACACTGTAGGTAACGTATACACTACTAAAAACCATAAACGGATAGCCTAGGGTTCGTCTACGTATCAGTGTTGGTTTCTGTCACAGAGCAGGAGGTGAACGCGAGAAGTCTCGCCTTGAGCCTGGGATTAGAACAGTCTGACCCACATACGTGTGGATTGATGTTTTGAGTCCGCACTCCATTCGGAACCGATGCCCTATCCCTCGGATTGCACCCTTTTCGGTTGCGAATCCCATCCCCAGAAGTCCATACTTTGTTCAGTTAGTACACGACCACAAAACATGTTTCATCTCAACGCAATATGATATTTGCGCTTTTCCATTACTGTTCTGGACTCATCAAGCTTCGCCACACTGCTAGATTGACTGTTAAGCTGGTTATTTTTGAGTCGTTTCAGGTTACTGATTCCAGAGTGTCGGCTGGAATGCCGGCGCCAATCTTTTGCAGTCAAAGTATTTAGTACTTGGAATACTCTCCCATCTCATTTCATTTGTGCATCAACTACTGAATCTTTCAAGCGGAAACTCGACAAAACCGTGGCACGCCTCGCATTCCTACACAACTAATAACGCAAATTCGTTGAAGACTGCATTACCCATTGTCTCCTGCCGAGAACTTTATGTTATACTGTATCATTTTTTCGCCAAGAAACGATTGAACTTTGTAAATATCCTATGGGCACAAGAGAAGCATGAGCTTGTAGGTCAATCCCATCATAAAACTTTGACTTTGACTTTAGTGTCCCACCATCGATTAGGCTAATCCCAATGGTCCCTAACGCGAAGCTTAGCATAACTCAAACAACCCCGTCCATTGGTCAAGGTTTCCATTGCTTCACACCAGATTACGGTCTGGTCGTCTTCAACTTCCTCATAATCACTGTTACTCACGGTAAAAGTCATGTACTGAGGAAGGTTATCCAATAAAAAATGCAGCACATGTCCATGTACCCGTAAGAGTTATCCTAGTGTAAAAACACTGTAGTAAACAAAGCTTGCGTTCGGTAACTTCTTCCTCGCGCTAATGCACTATATATAGGGTTTTTAAATTGTCAGCTTAGTGTAGTGGTCTGATGTGATGAATATGGTTGATTGATTAATTGTGATTTTGTGATATGTGGTTTGGAAATGAAGGGGCAGAGCTTCTTGTTATTGTGTGGTTTGGAAATGTTCACGGTTGATGGACTGAGTGGGCTGTTCCATTTCCGGTCTGCGCCCCTGGGTCATGCCAGAGGGCACAGTCGTTTCTTTCGAGTATGTCAGGTTGAGACCAGGGTAAAAGAGGCGACTGAACGAATCGCTTTCGAGAACAATAAGATGGATTGAGTAGGCGAATGGCCACCGACTCGGCTGTTGTAAGATGACATTGACGAATGGGTTCGCTGGTACTGTGTTGATCACCTTGATTGCGTCCTCGTTTGCTAAGGGGGTCCGTGTCTGCATGGTGTTCTACCACTGTACTTGTATTCGTTTTCCTTATATTCCTACTCAACCAGGCCGGCTGGTGCTCCTTGATTCTTTTCGAAAATTACCTGATCGTTCTTCATACATAACTTGCCGAACATGAGCAACGAAAGTGGTAAATGATCATAGATGAGGATAGGATAGGCGTTGTACCTTCAGGATTTATGGAAACCACTCGTCGGCTTGTGAATTGAGTACTTAGCTTTACAGCAGATGAAGTTCAAGTAATGGCTTTTTCTGATCGGCATCTTAGTAACTCAAACTTAGAACCCTCTTTAAAAGGAAGTTCTGTGAAAAGTTCCTTGCTTTTAACTGTTGTCAGTGGTGCTGTTGAAGGCCGTTCTGTCAAACCCTTCAGAACGAAACATTCCGGATAACCGTTGTCATAGTGTGTTTGCTCTGTAGTTTACAGTTCATGAGGTAAACAGTCTCCTGAACAAATTCTCCTCGCTCGATACGCGAGGGTTTGAACTAGGTTCTTTTGAGTTTCAGAAACACAAAACTGGTAAAATGAGAATATTGCTTAGTTCAAGTTGGTTGGCGGTAAACAGAGCGTTTACCTCGGTTCTGTAGCATCTTGTGAGCTTTACATCTAGGAAATGAAAATCATCTCCTAGTTCCGATTCATACGCAAAACTGATGGCGGTGTGGGCATTTGAAGGCATTTAACAGCGAATCTGTGTACCTTTGATTTTTCGATCAAGATGAAAACGTCATCCACATGCTGACAGTAGAGTGAAGAGCTTATTGTATTTCGTAAGATCCCGTTTTCCAATTTGGCAACAAATGCATCGATTAATATAAATCCAAGAGGCAATCGTCCGTTTACGGTATCCTGTTGTGTGCTACAGATAACGTCGTTTCTCAGTTGAGTTCAGTTCGGTGCCCAGGACGTTGACGGTAGCTCCAAGGATCTCCTGGTGCGGTGGGATGAAGGGGTTCATCTTCAATGAGATACACGTATAGGGACGACTAGGAGAAACCCCTGGTCACAGCATCCTACTCCTAGGATCAGTGTTCTTCACTGGCCCCTTCGATGGGAGTCACACCTAAAACCTTGAAACTCATAAGAATGAAGAAATAGGCCTAGAAGGAACAGTCTAGAGGAGAAGTGAAGAGAGGAGATGGAAGTGGG